GTCTCTTTATTTGTCTGTCTTCCTGTCATGCAAAGACACTGGAGAAGGCGACAGTCTAGAAGCAAAGAAGCCAGTCCTCACCAGAAACTGCTCATGTTAGCACAGTGACTCAACAATACAGCCTCCAGAATTGTGAGAAATAAATTTCTATTATTTAAGCCACCAGGTCTATGGCATTTTATTATGCATCAAAAAAATTATTAAGGGTGGCCACTGTGCCAGACATATTCTGAAGCTGAAGGGCTCTCCATTGGAATATAACAATTATGAAAAAAAATTTCTTGGTAGGATGACACAAGGTTTCTGTGATCTGGGTCACAACTTAGTCAAAAGTTATACAACTGGATTTTGTTCCTGTTTATGCACATGTGCATATCAGCAAGGAACTGTATAATCCCAGAGAGGCTCTATTATAACTATTTGCTAATTTTGTTTGAAGAACAATAAGTGAACCTAATATTTAACTCAGAAACAATATTAGGATGAGTCCATCGACTTCATACTTTATATTTATTATATCACCTTGTGGATCTTACTTCCTGAAGTTTTCTTAAATACAGTCTATTATCAGCATTCTCTATATCTACTGTTCTATTTTAAGTGCTCATTATCATTTGAACCATTCTGTGTTTGAATATCATTAATGGATCATCATCATTTATAGGGTAAAACTCAATTTCTATATCTGGATGTAGAAAGTCCTCCCCATTCCCTCCCTGTCCTATCAATTTTGGGATCATCCCTCATAGATATTGAACTCTGTTTTAAGTACTTTGACTTTTTTCACATTGTGTCTTTTATCTCTCAGATTCCTCTGCATGTTCATGAAGATGATAGATGTCTATTCACTCTGTCCTCTATATATTTCCATTCCATTCCACTACATTTCCATTGCTTCCATAACCATAAAATTCAGCTCCTGATATACCATTACCCTGTTGTTGACCTGAACACCTTCTAGGGACCTTATATATATTCATTTGTCTTTCATCCACTTGACTGTGAGCTACTTGAAGGCAGTGCCTACATCTCAAGAATGCTTCCATCCTCAGAAACAAGATCCAAACCTGACTTCCTAGTATGGCCCAATCAATGGCTATTGATTGAATTATCTACCTAGATATAATAACTCTTTGCTTTCATTGTATTAGAATCTTAGGTAAGAAAGGATGAATTAGCAAGTACGCATGACATCACAGACTCCCATGGTATGCACTATTTTAACTCTCAGCAACACTTTAAAGATAATAAAGTTGAGACAAATATTAAAAAATTTTCTCCCAAGTCACAAAGATTAGACATGGTAAAGGAATGTGTAAATCCAGAGCTCAAACTCTTTTTTGATTGAAAACAAGTGCGGAGACACAGCAAAGATATTACAAATCAAGAACACAGGAGTAAAAGAAAAAGAAGAGACACTAACAAAGAGTATTTACTCTGTAGCATGTACTTATCATCTCATTCACTTCTCCTACCAACAGCCTAAGGTATAAATTACTATTTCCTTTATTTTGGAGATGAGACAAAAATCAGTGAAGATCTAGATTAATCTAAAGTCATTAATCTAGTGAATGATAGGGTAAAAAAATTGAGTTCAGGAAATGTGACTCTAAAAGTGCATGCCATTAAATCTAACCATACAACTCAAACACACGTACTATAATAAATGCAAATCTTCAGAAAGAATTTTTCATAATCTATAGTTACAACCATAGCTGAACTCTTATGACTAGTACCAAACCAAGATCCTAAAAATTTCATGTTGTTTAGTCATTATCATCTGTGATAATTACGATAATTGCTGTGTACTGCTCCATAAACTTTGCCCTCTTCTGCCCTTCTTCTTCCATCATTAGGGGTGCTCACCTACTTGGGCTTAATTCTAAGCATAAATCTTCCCTATAGTATAAGAAAAAATATTTTAATAGTAACATAGTTTATAAATTTATTTTTTATGTGTGGTACTGGGGCTTGAACTTGGCCTACACCTTGAGCCACTCCACCAGTCCTTTTTAGGAAGGGTTTTTCAAGGTAGGGTCTTGCAGAACTATTTTCCTGGGTTGGCTTCAAACTGAGATCCTCCTGATCTCTGCTTCCTGAGTAGCTAAGAATTACAAGCATGAGCCACCAGCACGCAGCATAGTAAAATATTTTGTTATGTATAGAATTTATAGCTTTTAGACTAAGTTGGAATCCCATATCTATAGATTGTTAGAAAAAAGACCCATATAAATATCATATAAATGTAACAAATAAAATATTACATATCTTAAACAGAAAAGTCAAAGTTGTTTTGGATATAACTTTACACTTCTTTGAGCTATTAAATAGCAACAATTTTCTTTCAATAATACAATGTTATTTAAAGCTATTGAATAGTACAGCATTCTTCAAAGTGTCATAAAAAACTGTCAACAACATAAACCAAGTAATCCAACTTAAAAATGGGCAAATGATCTGAATAGATAGTTCTAAAAAGAAGAACTACAAATGGCTAACAAGTATGTGAAAAAAATGTTCAACATCACTAATTATGAGGGAGATGCAAATCAAAAGCAAAATCATATATCATTTCACTCCAGTCAGAATAGCTATAATCAAAAAAGCAGAAAATAACAAATGGTGATGAGAATGCCAACAAAAGGGATCTCTTAAAAACTGCTGGTTGGAATATAAGTCAATATGACCATTATGGAGAACAGTATGGAAGTTCCTTAAAACACTAAAAATAGGTTTATCATAAAACCCAACTATCCCACTTCTGGGTATATATCCAAATGAAATGAAATCAACATATCAGTGATATTTTCACACTCTGTGGCATAGATACTATACTCAATGTAGTACAGATACATAGTAGAATATTATTCAGCCATAAAAATTAATCTAATATTGTCATTTGCGTATACATAGATGACTGGAGGATATTATGTTAAGTTAAATAATCCAGGCACAGAAAGACAAATATTGCATGTCTTTCTCATATATAGAAGCTAAAAATGACAATTTGAAAGTAGAAGAGAATAGAATAGACATTACCAGAGGGTAGGAAAGGTAGGAAATAAGGGGGAGGGGTTTTAGGGAGGTTGGAAAATTGGTACCAAAATATAGCATATTTATATACAATAGGAAATATTTATATATATATTTGTGTATATGTATACACATACATATATTTGATATGTGTATGTTGATAAAATGCTATTTATCAACCATTGGAACTACTGCATTGCCAAAAGCAGATAGGCAGTAAATAATTGAAGTGTTTCTTTTCAGTTATTACCATTTATGAAAAATATTTCTCAATTTGAACTTCTAATGTTCTACAGAACAGTAGGGTGATGACAGTTTGAAATAATCTAATTTTAGGAAGAACCATAAAAATGGTCCTTAAAGACTCCAACACAAATATAAGGATATGGAAATGATAATTACTCCAATTCGGCCAGTACTCATTGCATGCATGTGTTGAAATACACATTGTACCCCATAAATATGTGCAATTATTACATGTTAATTAAAAATAAATAAAATAAAACCAAAAGAATAGTAAGTGCCATCCTTAGATTAGTTATGCCAAAAACACTTGTGAGTTTGTTAAAGGGAAAATTTTAGATCTCCTAATAGTCCTAATTTAAAAGCTGGGGATGGAGAAAAGAAATAAATGTTTAAGCAAGCCCTCCTGATGATTCTTATGCACCTGGAAGTTTGAGAAGAGCTGCCACTGTCAAATTATCCCAGAATTTCATGATAGCATAGGGCCATAAATAACTATATGCATTAGTTTTTAGTAGAGGAAGATTAAAAAATTTCATTGATGTATCTAAGGATCGCACAACTATACACATAAAAACAGATGGACAATCTGCCATATATATATGGATATTCTTCTTGGGATAAATTATTTTCTTCTACAGTCTTAATAAACTGTTCAAGGTCATATTAGCATTGATGTATATAGTTAGAAACACCAAATTATGCTTACATTCTTAAAAGAGCACGCTTTCCATAAAATTGATAGAAATTGCTTTCCTTACTATTTTGGTGAGCATTGGTAACATTTTAATTTTAAAAAATGATTGGAACTCTGGCTTTTCCAAATGTGGGCAGTTTTGATCCTGTTTTATCTGAATATTGCACAGAGGCTCAGCCCACTATTTTAAGAACTAGACTAAATGAATGAGAATTCACTTACACATTAGTATTTACTAGTTCAGATCATTTAATTGCATGCATTATTCATGTGGTACCCAATTACGTATTATCTCTTTTTAAACAATTCACTACTCATTTTCAAGCAAATTATTTTTAAAGGCAGAGCAAAAGAAAGAGACAAAACGAAGACAGGGAAGAGGGGATGATAATACTGTGGTTTGAAAACTCCTCCAAAATATGCAATGATCCTGATAGTCATTGCAGGACAAAAATGTTTTATGTAAATTATGTGGTTGGGAAAAAGATTGATGTTGTACAAAGTCTGGGGGCATAATGAGTGTGTTAGATTTCAGGCACTGTCGTGTTGAATGGGATGAGGAGAAAGAAAATATAATCTGGTCTAATTATATCAAACTATATTAGTTTAAACTGAAATAATAATTTCAATGCTTTGAAAGAGTAATATTTTGATCTGGCTGTGAGGTTTTATCAATTAGTTATAACTGATAAAAACAGATTTTGGTTGACAAAGTTTAAAAGTGTTTGAGTTAGAATTTCATTAGAAGTAGAAAGTAATAGAACTAAAAAAGCAGCTATTCTGAATAATTTTGAGGCACCATTTTATTTAGAGGCAAGGTGATTGGGTGGTTACTCTAAGAGTATATTAAAATTTGTTTTGTGACTATTGAGTATACCTTATCTTTATATTTTATTTCTACCTATAACACATAAACTAATGAATACTACATACAAAGATATAGCTAACTTAATAAAATTAATAGAAGTTGAAGGAATATTCTTAAATATCAGACTTCTGCTTTGCCAACAATATAAATAGAAGTTACCTTGACAAATGCGACAATCTTCAAGGAGATTGTTGCTAAATACAAGGAGTTCATCACAAAATCCATTAGATTCCACCAGTCATGGATGTAATCTTGAAGTCCGCCATCCCACATCTGTTTAATTTCTCCCCATATAAAACCTGCAATTATAGAAACTTCATTGTAAGTGTGGCTTTCAAGCAAATCACTGAAACACCAGGTATGCAGTTTAATAATTGTTGATCTGAATGCTACAAGAGATTATTTATACTAGATAAAATATCTGCTTAATAGATAATAATATTGGGTCCCAAACACTTTCTAAGACGTTGAGGGTGCTAAGATAATTCTAGAAGAGGCTATAAGGTCAGTCTCACTTAATTTTATCCTTTTGGTATGTTCAGAAAAGTATAATGTTTTAATTAAACTTGAACTCACCTATAACTATACATACATATTTTCTTATGGAAAATGTCATAATATTTTCCTGTAGGAAAATACCTTGAGATACATTTTCCCCCAAGTCAAAAATACTTAAAAATTCATGGTAAACAGTGTATCTTGCCACATACTTGGTTCCAACAATTAATCAAGTTACCCTGCTGTGTTTCTTAAGCAATTAATACTTTTGGAGAACTGACTTCAGTCTTAGAGAAAGAATATATCATTCATGACAATTCGTTAAAGTAATTTATATCTAGAAATGCTTCAAAGTTATATCCAGAGAAAACTAAATACTTTTCATATATTATGGTTCTATTTTAAAATAAAGTAATTCATTTAAATATTCAATGCAGTGCTTATAAAGTATTAATGTAGGTCATTATTTTATTTCCATGATCTTATTAAAAATACATAAAGCTATTTTTTAGATTCTAATGATGAAAGTGACATAAATAAGAAATCAGGAATCTAGATTCAGGAAATTTCCTGATTCTAGAATCAGGAAATATTAAAAAGATAAATATGATATATTTACAATATAACTGTATTAATAAAAAGCAAGCAGTAAGACATCCTTAAGATAATAATAGTCTGGAATGTAAAATGTGTAGTATCATGTTTATAACTGCTGAAAATGTAGAAAGTTGGAAAGAATGCTGTCCCTATACTAACAGCAAGTTTATATCATATTAACTGTAAGAGTAATAACTTTTCATGTATTTATCGAGAGATAGAAATCAAGGGGCCTAAACTTCAAGAAGAAGCATGTTCCTATAAACAAATATGTTGTGAGCCTTTAGCTCACAATGCACAGGGCAAAGACCCACTGGCACCATGCAAGAGAGTAAGAAGAATTCAGCAACACATTTTAAATAAACTTCTAAAGACTGAGTGTGAGCAAGCTTAAGGTGGACTGAGCCCTGGGAGGCATAGACACAGAGGGGTTTCTATCCATTTGCATGCTTTTCTCCACAGTCTCAAACTATTGCTCAAGAGAAAAATTATAGTGTAAGCCTGGCAGTGCAAAGAGGCTGCTTCTGTGGGAAAGGCACAGATCCCTGTCCAGGCTCCTGTCTCTTAAGGGGCAAAACATTCTGGGGAGACAGAAGAAAGAGTCCTGGACCTCAGACTTAAACCAATACCACTAGAGGTTTCTTATCACTAGTGGAGGAGAAGGAAACTCTGTAGTGTTTATTGCTTGCAAATTCTAACTGCCATGAAAATGAGGGTATGTATCATGGAAACATCTCTACCACTAATGCACAGAGGACTTCCTAAGTCTGGCTGGTTCAGGATAACAGAGAGTTTTTCTGCCCCTAATCATCAGACAGCAATTTAAGGCACAGGTATATAGAAAAGATCAAAAGTTGTGGATGAAGTAAGAATACTGAGAGTAATCCTCATTGCCAACAATGGTAGAAGCATCTGGCATACTGAAACTGACTGTAGCCAAAACAGAACCCCAAATCAGCTCAACTTCTAACTGTATTGCCCGAACCTCCTACCACAATATTTTAAAAGAAGTCATGTACACTTTTCCATGTCAGTTCTGGGTGCGTCTATTGCTTCCTGCTGCATAGACAGGAAAAATAACCCTGCAAAACTCACACATGCACACATGTGCACACGTACATCACACAATGATGCATCGTATTCATGACTAAATAAAAAAGCAGCCAAGAAAATAAAAATATAATTTGCATGCAAAGAAGGATGCATAAGACCGAAGACAAACTTTTGTCAAAATCTATCCAAGACAGAAGACAATGAAGTGACATCCAGACACAAAAAAATCTATCCAAGACAGAAGAGAATGAAGTTAACCCAGAATTCTGAACATAGCACAAATAGCTCTCAGAAATGGTGAGCTAAAGTTTTTTTTTTCAGACAATCAAAAGCTGAGACAGTTTATTATGATATTCAGGCTATAAGAAATACTGAAGAAATGTCTAGGGAAGATGTATGTTATATTAGATAGAAACTAGAAACTTAGGTAAAAAGAAAGAAATATGTAACTCCAGAAATGATCAAAATGAAAATAAACATAAAATATATATTTTGAATTTTTGTAGCAGACTATCTAATGCAAAACAGTAGCTGTGAATTATAGCTTATATATAACATATGTAAATATGTTTAGACATTAGCTTAGAAAATGACAGTGGGAATTAGAAGCATACTGTCTCAGGTTCTTGCACTACACATAGAGCAATATTGTTTGAACTTAGAATATGATAAATGAAAGTCTTACAAATAGTAGGGAACCCTCTTAAAATATTTTTAAACATATTAAATAAAGGGCCAGAAAAATCAATCAATAAAACAAAATCTAGTTCTTTGAAATGGTCAATAAAATTGATAAAATTATAGCTAGAATGATCAAGAAGCAAAGGACATCTAATATAAATTACTAATACCAAATATTAAAGGAATATCAGTACAGGTCCTACAGAACTGATAAGGATAGTAAGTGACTGACCAACTTGAAGCCCAGAAATCCCACAACTTCAATGAAATGTAGATTTTTGTCTGAGGCATAAATTTCCAGGTTTTCTCAAGAAGATAGAGAATAACTTGAATTATCTGATAACTTCTTAAAGAAAATGAATTTATTGTTAATAACCTCCAACAAGAAAGCCTCAGGTTCAGTTGGCTTCATGGGAAGTCCTACCAAACATTTTTGTAAGAAATAATACTAAGACTAATCAAAATCTTAAATGAGTACAGCGGGAAAGAACACCTAAGTGAAAAATTACTACTCTGGTTTTAAAAAGATAAAAGAAAACTACATGACAACAGCCCATATGAATATGCACAGAATATTCAATAAATACTAGTGAGTTAAACAGTAATATATAAAACAGTAATTTATATATTAGTGACACATAAAATTGTGATGACATAACCAAATGCTGTTTTTCCAAGGAATGCAAGGTTGTTTTACACTTAAGCAACAATAATTTACCCATTATTGCTGAAAAAATATTATTTCAACAGATTCAGGATAATCGTTTGACAAAATTTAGCATTCATTCATGAAAGAAACATTCAGCAAAATATGAATAGAAGAGAAATTTCTCAATCACATAATGGACATTTATAAACATCTGTAGCTATTACCACTCACTTATTCTGAAAAAGACTTGAAAATAAATAATTTAAACTTTGAAATTAATGAGGGAGCATGACTATGTTCCCATGAAGCTCTCTAGAAAAACTCACCAGGAGCCCACTATAACTGGGTAATCATAGTTTGCTGACCTGGTAATGATTACATGGATTTATGTGCTAATATTTTATGTCCTGGGACAGCCCTCCCAAAGAGTCATGCTATAACTTAATTTTGAATATATGTAGTAAAAGTTTTAAGACTGATATTGATGAATGGATAAAAAGATAGATAAAAATAAAGTAGTAGCTGTCATGCATTGATTATAGATAATGTATGAGTTACTTTTCCTTTATTTTTTCTGTATGTTTGAAAATTTTGATAATAAAACTTTGAAATAAATAAGAGTAGTAGATTTATAGTACATTGCTAGTAAAATTATCAATAGCTATTTAAAATTATCCACAATTTTGCTTTAAAATTTCAAGTTGCATTTAAGTTTATAACACAAATGAAGACTGATTTCATGTAAATTAAATGTAGTCTCTATTTTGAAGTTAGTTGTAGACCACTGCTTCAGTCTACATTTGATGTTTGCATCTTAGCCTTCCCTTTGAGGCTTAATTTATTAATAAATCACTCCTGAACATTCAGCTAGAAAATAATTGGGGATGTAATAATATTCTCTCTTATGTTTAAGAAAGGAGTTTGTCACAATTGAATGAGGAATGATTCATGTCCTGGATTTTAGAAATAGTGGAAAACTTAGAATATATTTTATCCAATGAGGAAAATTACTGAAACACATGGAAATACTTTCCTCTATTACAGTTTTGGTGCTTTTTCCTACTACCTTTGGAATATCCTTAGATTCTAGCAGATAACCATAGATTACCCAAGAACACTAAAGTCCAAGGAGGCAGTGCAACTAATGCTATGCTACTAGTTATTGGAGAAATCAGGATTGGATCTGAATTTCCTACATGCAGTGTACTTGTGCAACACTTGCTTATTCTTAAGATCTTGCAGTGTAGCTTATTTTTGTTTTCTTGAAGTTTTCCTGATTTCCAGATATTAGAAGAGGTATGTATGCAGTCATTGAATGGCAAAAGCATTTTAAGTTCAGCAGAAGGCACAGTGATAAGAACTGGACTGTCAGGTGAGGGAGGTGCCTGGCTCAACCTAATATCATTAGCTCTATACTTAGCCAAGTAATCTTTTCTAATCTCTTTAGCTTTCAGGTACTACACTTTGAACAGAGGTTTGTATTATATGACTTCCAATAAAAGCCTAGTGCCCCAATTGTATAAAATGACAATTGTTGCTTCCTGTTCATATTATCAAAAAATTCACCAAAATTGATTATCATGGTCGCTTAAATCTGTTGTGCACAAGAGGACACAGATTTGGTCTGCTCCAGAAAACAGAAATTGATAAGAAAGATATAGAAAAAGAGCCTACAGTTCAAAGTAAAGAATAATCTGGCAATTTGTGTTACTCTAAAACTGGAATGGAAGTACAGAGTCCAGTCCAAGGTCTAGAGTGCATTCCATCATATGTACTCCAAAGAAATTTTGGCAATGAATGGAAACCTGGTCAGTCACTTTC